TTCACGCTCCACCTCATTTACATCTCGGTGCATTTTCCTGGCAGATGTTCAAGCACCTGCTGGCAGAAACCCCTCGGAAACCCCCAAACCCGAACCCAATACCCCCGCGTGAAGAGGGATGGTGGGGAGGAAGGAGTGTCGGAGGGGTCTGGGTTGTGTTTTGGTGGGGTTTTCTCTGCCGGGGTTGGCAGGGGACGGTGTCCCAGTGCCACTAGATGGCAGCGGCCCCGCGCCGCCCGCTCCTCGCCCCGCGGCCCCGCTGCATCCCGGCCCCGGCGCGGGGCCTCCCGGCTCCACAGCATCCCCGCTGCGCTTTGGGAGGAGCGGCCTGGGACAAGCTTTCCGTGCCGGGATGCCTTGCAAAACCGAGGGGCACCCGAGCCCAAGCTAAAGGTTCTTTCGCAATGCGGGGCGACGGCGGGGACGGTCCTCGGAGGCTCCGACGCCTCCCCGAGACAAAATCTCCCCTTTTCCTTCTCTCTCGCTCCCGCTTCTGGTTTCTTTCTGGTTTTCTTTCCTTTTTTTTTTTCTCTCCCTCTCCAAAGTGCCTGCTTTTCCCTAGCTCGTTTCAACCTTCGGCGTCACAAAATCAGGCAGATGCACCCCCCCAAAACACAAGCTGAGCTGCAGCAATGTGCACACACGGTCAGAGCTGATTTCCCAGCACTGGGGGATTTTTAGGCTGGCAGTAAACTAAGCAGGGCCTGAGGCAGGCTAATAAATAGCTTAACCTGGCTTTCCTCTATAGGACTGTATTTTTTTAGCCTTCAAAACAGTGTGGCTGCATCCAGCCTGCTCCTAGTGCACAGCCCCCAGCTCCTGGTTTGCCCCAGGGAAAAATGAGGGGACAAATACCTGGCCCTCATCCAGACTCATGGCACAGAGCATGCATATAACCATGGGATACATTCCCAGCTCCTGTTTTCATCTCTGGGGGTAAAATTAGCTGCAACAACCAACCATCTCTGCTCCTTTTGGCGTATCCCTCCTCCTTTGAACCATTCCAAGTGTGATGCTGCTCTGCCCCTGGATGCCACCTGCAGGGAAGGGTGTTCTGAGGGTCCATCTGCTCGTGGAGCTTCCACTTGCTTTACTGTCATCACCCCTATTCTGGATACAAAGTATTGGGCTATCTGGATGTTACTGAAACTCACCCCCTCCTGGGACAGGTCTTTTTTTAGACTGAAATAGGAAGCACAAAACCTCACCCTGAGCTTCCTCTAGGGTTTGGTTCTTCCTAGAGGTTTCTCCTTACTGGAAATTTCTTTTCTGCACCTCTGGCCCTGATCCAGCCAAATGCTGAAGCACACGATTAGCTTCAAACCATCCGGTCCCCCACATTCCCACAGCGCTTTCTGGTCCCCTCGTCCCTTCTCACCTTGGGAATGCTCATGCCTCTCCATGCTCCTGCTGTGAGATGATGGGTCTCCTCACTGCCAGCAGCAAGAAGCAGGAGCATCATCTTGCTTTGCTGTGCACCAGCCACAAAACTAACCCTGTACCCATGCAGGGAGTTATCAAATCTATTTTGTGTACTGTGAGGGCGTGTGAATGCTGCACAGGAAGATCTGGGCTCCCGAACCATGAGCACCTGCAGCCCTGAGAGCTCATGTCTACAGCTCAGCCCATTCTCATCCTCTCTGCTCTCTCCCCAGGGGATGGTCAGGTAATGCTTAAATTGCCAGTAGTGCCTGTGAATATTTGACACTGACTGAGATGGCCAAGCAAAATCCCTGCTGCTGTCACTGACAGGGACTCAAAAACTTGCCCCCATGTCAATGATGTGCCCCAATACCCATTTTCCAGGGAGAAGAGCCACCAATTCATTCTGGCACAGGCCACCAAAATAGTCTGATGCATTTGGTCACACCCTCCCAACAGCTTGGATCCTGATGATGATCTCCCAGGTTTGGTTGTGCAAGAGCTCTGATGGAAATTCATGACGATTTCCCAACCGTTCCACTGCTGTGAATTTAAATTCCTAAAACCCTAATGCATGGAATTGAACTGCATATTGATTAAGGGCCTTTTATGATGTCTTGCAGAGCATATTAATAATTATTTAAAACTTGTATTCCGGTTTAATGACTCCTGTCACCAGCACTTTGCAGTGATTCAGTCTTGACTTTTAATTGAAATGCTTTAGTTAAGACAAATTGCTTCAGACAGAGAAGGTGAAGTGCTCCTCCAGGTGTGTGCCATGGGGGGAGGGGGGGCTTTCAAACTCAAGGGTCCCAAATTCCCAGGTGGCTGTGAGACTCTGGAGAGAAGTCTCTGTCCTTCGAGTGGGTGTGTGTGTCCTGTCCTACGAGAAGCCATTTCTTTGGACTTCCCCTCTGAGCACTGCAGAACAAGTGTTTTGCTGCTCTGGCACTCAGGGCAAGGTCATGGGAAAGATTAATAACCTCTCTCAATAGGGCAGCCACATCTCCCTTATGCAGACCATGGTGGCACCTCGGTGCTGGTGACACTCATATGTCCCACTTCCAACAGCACCAGTGCACATTCATGAGCCAGACCAATCTGAGCCAATTACTGCTGTCACCAGGCTGAACACCTCATGCCTCCTTAGTTATGTTTTATTTTTCCTCTACATGTGATCCCAAGTAGCTTCTTCCCGGCCTTGAAGCTCATTCTGAAAGGGCACCTTGGCTTGGAAACATCCCTGGAGTATTTTGTAGAAGCAAGAGATGGCACCTAAGGGCTGCCAGGATGAAGGTAGTCCAGCTTGGTGGAGACAGGACCTCATTTAATATTTGCTGACCAGCACAGAAGACAGGGGTCTGTACTGTGGTTTGGCGAGAAGACAAGATCTTGCATGTTATGCAGCCTTTTTTCAGTGTTATCTTCCTGTTCCATGGCTGGAGACTTGAAAATGGGATAGGAGGGGGTTTATCTTTGCATCCCCTTTGCCTCCGAGGAGGGACAAGCCCACAATAAGTGCATCTGTGAATCTGCCTCCTCTGAAAGGAAATCAATATTTTTCCATCCACTCTCTGGTGGGACAGGATGTTGAACAGCAATCAGTGCTTTCACCCCCATGCATGGGCCTGGAGCCAGGGGAATTCCAAGACCACAGGGATTTCCAGGTCACACTGCACGAGCACAGGATAGGAGAGTCCCCCCCTGCATCAGAGGGGACCTCTGACCGTGAGAGCAGAGATTAGTACTGGCCATGACATGTTAGAATTCTGGCTTAAAAAACCCTTACTACATCTGCTAAATGACTGTTTGATTTTTTTATGACTGCCTGTAAAACATGAAGCTGGGATCCAAAGCGCTCCTCTCCACCACGAGTGGCTTTCCTATAAGTCACTGGGCATTTCCCCAGGGACTGAGTTGTCTTTCCAGGCCATCACATGTGCAGTACAGCTGTGCTTCTCATATATGAGGGAGTTGGAACTGGATGATCTTTATGGTCCCTTCCAGCCCAAACCATCCTGTGACTCCGTGATTTACATCCTGAGAGGAGTCACAACCACCAGGGCAATTCAGGTGATGAATAACCATCACCCCATGGAAGGATATAAAGAGAAAATATTTTGCCAGACGCTGCATTTTTTCCTTAATTTTTCACTTTGTTCCTTCTGTATTTTTAGCTTCTGGTGCCTTCCTTGTCCCACCCGTCAAGAAGAAAGCCCTTTATCCTGTCAACCAAAAATCAGTTCCTTTACAACAGCTGGATGAGTGCCCACCTTCACTGTCTTGCTTCCCACAGGGGCTCTCCTGAGGTGATACACACCCATTGCTCCCTAGATGGACCCAACCTGATTTAGCAAAGAAACTCTGCAAAGCAAATGTTTGCCCCTGTGATGTCAAGGAGTTAAAAATCATGAGCTAAACCTCCAAGTCCCAAGCTGAGGCATCCTCCAGACCCAACGTCCACATATTGGCCTAATTTTCTCAGATTTATAACCAACAGTAAGAGCTGTTGGGGAGGCAAGAGTGCATTCACCTATGTCTTGACTAAAGGAACACGTGTGGTGCTGAAGTTTGGGTGTATGAATAGGGCCTTGCCAAAGATCACCCAGACTTCCCAAATTGTGGTACTTTGTGCACATGGATAGACCTAAATGTGGCCCTTGTGAAAGAGTCCATCAAATAACCAACACATCCCATCCTCTTCTCCTCCCCATTCTCCAGTGCCCACAGATGACAATGGCATTACTGTGGGACTTCCAGAGGGCAGTAATTTATTATTAAAATGGTGGTTATTTATAACAAAATGAGCCTTCATATGGAAAAGCCCAGGGAATTGCCCTAGCTGTGCCCTGGTGTGGCTCTGTGCTTAGGGACACCCTCCCCTCACTGTGGGACCACAGCACTGCACATCATCTTCCAGAGTGACTTCAAAATTCAGTGACTTCAGTTTCCTTTTGCCTGGAGTCAAGAGTTCAGGAGTTTTGTTGTTCAAGGAGAAAGCAAGATTCTGTCCTCCTCCCACCCACCCTCCTTTTTTTTTTTTTTTTTTTTTTTGTGTAATGTTGGAGTTCCTTTTCTTCACACAAAATGAGTGAGGATGCTGCTGGTAACCTCTGCGGAGAAGGTACATGTTATGTCCTGCCAGTCTGTGCCCTCATGCCTCTCCCATCTCAGAAACACACGCCCACAGGCCAGGATGCTGCTTTCCTTATCCCTCAGGTGCTCAGCAGCAGAAGGTGTTAGGTGGGATGGAAAAGACCTGCAGGTGAAGGAAGAGCTGGAGGATCCCATGGCTGAAGCTTAAAAACACCCACACAACAACATGTGATTCTTTCATCCTAGTGATTCTGAGGGTTGTTTTTTTTTTCAAAGTCTGGTGAGTTTCCTGAGTGGAGATAGAGCTGCACTGCTGTAATATCAGGCTTCTTCAAAACTGAGCCCTACACACAGACCCACATTTGCTGAAGGGTCTCACCTTCCCAATGACCCATGTGAAAGTACTCAACCCAGACACTCCTCACCACTCAGGGCAACTCAGAAGCAAGAAGAAAAGTGTCATAGCTTGAACTCATCTTTAGTTATCTGAGATTTTTTCCCACTAAATCAAACAGAATGAAATGTCCTACCAGCATGGGCCATAATTCATGACCGTGTTGATTTCTCTCCCAGGTTGCAGTGACATCAGTAAATAACAAAAGACTGGATCCTGTCAAAGAAATCAAGGAGGAGATATCAGAGGTACTGGGCAAATGCTCTCTAAGGGACATGAAAACCACAGCAGCCTGTGAAAAACACATGACATTTAACTCATAAAAAATGTGAGTTTAATGCAGATTTGTGTTTCTATATTGTAGCATCTGGAGTTTCCAACGAGTGTGACCACATCCTCCTTGAATTCAGCAAGTCTTTAGAACAGAACCACAAAGGAAGCACAGAAATTATTTATTTAGGGAGAAAGAAAAGCTTTTGTTTTCTGTTATTTTACCATTCTGACACAATCCTGCTTCTTCTGGGACCTGTGTTATGGAACCAGTTCATCCTTGTCCCAAAGGACATACCCCAGTCTTCCATCTTTAAGACACATCCCACTCTCCTGCCTTTGAGACAAGGTAATAATATTTTCCTAACACAATAATATTGTGTTATTATACTTCTAGAGCATCTAAATAATGTGCCAGAATAAGGAAACCAAGTCTCACCTGCTTTCTTCTCTTCAAGCTAGTGACAGACCATGTCAGGGCATCCTTGATTTTCCATCTCTCAGCCTCCAGCAGCACCTGTCAGCAGCCCATCTGTTGGAGAGAAAACCCATTTGGCTCTGCTCTGTAGTTATTTAAGGACAGGGACAACAAATGCTTACATCATTCAGGAGCCTGGGACCCGTGGGAAGCCATCAGGTTTTGATTGTTAACACACACCAAACTTGAGCGTTGCCTGATGGGACAAAGCTGGTGGGATATAAATGTGTTCCCATGATCCCATGGCCATGGTTTCTTTGACAAATCCAGAGCACACATTGCAGTATCCATGGTGACTGGCAGCCTGTCCATCCCACCAGCCAGCACAGCCACATTCCCAGGCACACCAGGACACGGGAGTGCTCGTGCCTGGTGGAGAGGTTTGTGGAAGGCACTGCTTTGAGGATATGCTGATGTTCCAGGGTCACTACCTTAGCAAAAACCTCATTAAAAACAATGAGGCAGGATGTCACTGCATTGCCAGGGCATAACACAGCACCATTTCCACAGCTCCACTTCCCAGATTCCACCTCCAGCAGTGCCATGTAGGAACAGTGACCCCCAGAAGTGGCCTTTCCCCTCAAGACAGGGTGGTGCAGATGAACACCAAGCCTTTGTGCTGGGGCTGGCTGTCAGGAACAGCAGATGGTGCAAGAGGAAGCATGGCCAGCAGGATCAGCCAGCTTTTTTTCTAGAGGATGATGAATCAAAGCCAGCAAGCTCCTGGCTCCTGTCCTGCATGGTGTCCAGTCCAGGAGAAGAGAGAACTGGTGGTGGATGGGTTGGGCCATGAATGTGGGAAGATCTCTGAAGGAGGGAGAGTGTTGAGAGCAGGAAAGTGAAGCTCAAAGGGTTGTGCTGAACTCGCTCTAGACTGGGTGGGGCAGAAGACCAAAACATGAATCAGCTACTGAGCACTGACACGAGGCTGGTCTTGGCCCTTTGGTGTTGGCTGCCACTGCCTCTCCTCATCCCCAGTCAGTTCAGTACAGGCTGGACAGGATACACCTGGCAAAGGGCCTGCTGAAGTGGATGAAATCACCGTGTTATTGCAGCCTGAAACTTCCTACACCCCTTTTTGGAGTGGTAGCACCACTGATCATTTCCCAGGTGTGCCTTCTCCTCCCCCAGGTATCTACTCTCCTGGGAAGTGTAGGACAGCTGAAGGGGGTGCTTGGTTACTGTAAATGAACACAAACCATTATATTGATTGTTGCTGCTGTACTGGAATCACTTCTGTTCTTCCCTGAAGTATGTAAGAGCAAGATGGGCCAGAGCAATGAACCATAGCTGAGGAGAACCAAAACCACCAAGGGCTTCTGTGGCTCTCTCCCTGCTCCATGGGAACCAGGAAGGATGAATCATGAGGCATGACAATCCTCTTGGTCATGGACTGTGAGATACCAGATGGCCCTGAATAAAGTGGTGTTCCAGGGAATCCCTGGCTATCCTCTGGAACAATACATCTAGCCTAACATCAGGCTCCAGAGACCTCTCTGTGGCAGGGACAGGGCATCCCACTGGTGCCAGCATGACTCCCAGTGCCCTTGGCCTTCACACAGATCATGGCTTTATATTCCCCCAAGTCTCTAGGTCTACCCTGGAGGACATGGGTAGAGGTGGAGCAGCAGCCTCTTGTTTCTAGTCTCACCAGAGACCAGTGGAGAGGTGACCAAGAGGGACAGACAGCTGAACCCATGCAAGCCAGATAGCTCTGCCTGCTCCCAGTGGGAACTTGGAGAACATCAAGGAACAAGATCTCCCTGTGAGTTCTTTCCTGTTTCTCCACTGTTCTATTTCTCCACAGGGGCTGACCTGGGCCCCTCACTCAGACTTACCAGCTCTACCTCATTTTTCTTTGTGTAGGTGAGTTGAGTCGCTCAGGAGTCCAAGTGTGTGGGATGCTCTTCCAGGGAGTTTCATAGGAAGGGAGCAGCAGTCCTGCCCTGAATATGAGAGGAGAACTTTATCATGGCTGGTGGTTACAAGGAGTGAGGAAATATGGCAGTAGGTCAGGAAAGGTCGGGTGAATATCCAGCAGAAAAGGGCAAACCCCACCCAGTTTGCATAGAACGACAGAGTTGTCTAGAGATTTGGAGTACAGGGAGCAGAAAGATGGGTGGAGGGCTTGGGGGAGATGAGCCTGGATGAGCTGCAGGGTACCCCAGCAGGGAGCTGAGAAGAGCAGCTGAGAGATCTTATGGTAGAAAATCTTTCAAACAATGCAAAATCGTTAGAAACAATAAAACAGTCACTTTATATCAGGTTAAATTTCTGGTTCTTGCAGCCCTGGCATTTAGATCTGGCCCTAAAACTCAAATTACTGCTGTTTGATGATGATGTTTTTCAGTGTCTTGAAAATCTCACATATATTCTCCAGTGTAATTGGTCTAAAACAAGTTTTCCTTGTTTTTCTGGTACCAGTGTCAGTCAGAGCTCTTAGGTTTTGTAGCCTGCTTGTTTACACTGCTTCAAGCAAATCAGAGTCAGGCCCCTGGATGTTGTGGTGCCTTTCACCACATTCTTCCTTCTGCCTTTTTTTCTGTCTTTTCCACTCCATCCCTGACAGGGGAAGCACTGTTCTTTCCGTGCTCCTTGGTTCTGTTTGAGGCAGTCATAGAAAAAGTGACAATTAGGAAATAAAGGACCTACAGTATCTGCTTTGGCAGGCACAGCACATCCCACTGCTGTGCTGCTCCGAGTCAAACCAGCAGCTGCCTGCCTGGGTCAGATGGAGATATTGCTGCCTTATATTCTGGGATCTGCCTGAGATATCCTGGGGCACTGCCACGCTGCAGAGGGAGAGATAACCCAACGTTCAAGTCAAGCAATACACATTTGTAGCAGTCCTGCAAAAAGCAGGGAGATGGACTCAATGATCTTTATTATTATTTTTCACTGGGAGGGTGGTGAAACCCCAGCACAGGTTGCCCAGGGAAGCTTCCCATCCCTGGAAGTGCTCAAGGACATGTTGGATGGGGCTTGGAGCAACCTGGTCTAGTGGAAGGTGTCCCTGCCCATGGCAGAGAGGTTGGAACTGGATGATCTTTAAGGTCCCTTCCAACCCAAACCATTCTGTGATCCCTATGGGTCCCTTCCAACTTGAGATATTCTATGATTTCAGGATGCTCAATTCCAGTTCAGAAGATAATGGTGATTAGAAAGAAATGACAAGGTTAGAAACTTATTATTTGGGAGATCAAGTAACTACCTGGGACAGGGTAACACACATAAACTTCAGCCTTCCCAGACTATTGTGCTCCACCAAAATGATTGAAGGTTGCTAAGCAATGTCAGTGTATTCCCCCCAGACTGAAGGAACGTAACAGAAGCAAATGAGTTCACTGCAGGTGAACTGAACTTATATCAAGTCTAAATATATATAATTATTGCTAATGATGAATTCTGATCCTTAAAGCATTCCAGGCAGATGAAAGATCTAAAGAAAGCCAAGATCGTTATTTCATGTCATTCATAGTGCAGAAGCCTTCTGGATCAGCCAAGGTGGAAGCAACCCCTTCTCTGGGTCTTGTCTAGCCCTGATTTGGTGTCCAGGACTTGCTAAATGCTGCCTGAAACCCCCTTTTCCTTCCTTTCCAAATCCAGGGAAAATGAAACTAAATCTCCACACTAAATGATAAAACAGAAAATCTTATCAAAGCACAATTTTATGAAAGGCAAGGCAGATGAAGAGAGAGGGAAGAAAGAGAATAACATCCTCAACCATTAAACAAGTCTCATTTTCCCAAGGATCCCACACCATCACTTCTCCCTCCTTATTTTTATGAGGCAGCAACCAACCCCTTCCTGTCAACACATCACCTTTGCCTTTTGTGGGACCCTCCATCCCCTTGCCCAGGGGAGGGTGCTGGGTCTGAGGGTTCCCCTGGAGCTCTCTGATAGTCCCTTCTGTCCCTGCTGGTCACCTCTCTCATCTCCACAAGACGCTCTCTGGTGCCTCCATAGCACCACAAGTCTAGAGAGGACCCAAAATCAGCATTTGCCATGAAAGGGAGAATTTCCCAAACAGATTTTTGGGACTATAGTAGAGTGCCCAAAGAAGTCTGGAACTGCACACAGAGGTGACATAACACACAAGAAGAGCAGAAGTCGGAGAATAAGAGATGAGGAGCTGAAATTGTCCCCTGTCACATCTCACAGGGACACAAAAAGGAGACTGAGGTGCACAGCACAGCAGAAAACTACCAGTAGCACAGGAACCAGCAGCATTTGCTGGAGGTTCACCTGCCTCCTTCAGGGGAGGAGCAGCCAGCACTGGAGACATTGAATAACTCGGGGCTTGTGCAGCCAGCTCTGTGCAGTTCATGCCTCCAGATTTCCTAGTATTTGTTCTCCTGCTCTGGGAAGAGTTGAGAGCTGCAAGAGGCCCAGCTCGCAGGGATGTTTAGAGAAAGGAAAGTCCATTGTGTGAAAGACTTTGGTATTTCAGGGTTTGTTTTCCTTCTGACACAGAACAAAACACCACCATGTCAAAACCCTCCGTAAGGCAAAACAGAACAAAACAAAAAAACCCAAACACCCAAAACCAACCAACCAAACAAAAAAACCCCAACAAACAGTGGTGTTCAGTTTGCACATGGTCTGTGGAAGCATTTTCCCTTCACTTTTGGGCTTTTCAATCTCAAGTCTCAAGATACCTACTATTGTAGCTAATTCAGGAAAAGAAAAAAAGAAAAAAGAAAAAAGAAGCAAAATCCACACCAGAGCAGAAAGGGGGAGCCTTTCCCTGCGCCAGGATCTGACCCTGCTGCAGTGGGTTTTCTCTGCAGTGGCACCGGGATCAAAGCGGCTCCCCTCCTCCTACCCTAGATGGGATGCGTAGCTGCAAAGGAGCCTCCAAGTTTTAAGTGGGAAAACCAGGGAAAGGGCAGCGCAGCAACCCTGTACGACACCAGCAGAGCTGCTTTGCACCATCTTTCCTCGAGCAGAGGGACTCGGGCAAAGCAGTCCAGAAATTTTAGAAAGGTTGGACGTAAGGGTTGGCTCCCAGCAACGAAACTGGGGGAAGGTCACTGCTCCGGGTGATGTTTTGGGTCAGACCCTGCAAATTGCTTTCACATCGAGAGCTCCCACCCCGGCTCTCCCTGGACGGGCTCGCGTCTTCCCTCAGGCTTTCAGCCCCTGGGAGCCTGGTGAGTGCTGGTGCTCGGACGAGTCTCCCCCGCGGGGCAGTCCCGGGTGCCGATGCCTTCACCGGCGGCAGGGAGCAGCTCCACACCAGTTCTCTCTCCGTGAGCGCTGGCATCGAGCCCGGCCGCCTTTCACTGCTGCCTTTTCATTCGCCTTAATTCACTGCGTTTCCTTTCTTGCTGCTTGCGAGGAACAGAGGGAGAGCTTGTTCCAGCAGACGGGCCCCATCCGCTCCACCCGGCTCTTGCTGGAGCGAGGGCTGGAAAAGAGGGACGGAGGCAAAGGGGTATCTCCCACCCCTCCGGGGCCCCGCGTGCCGCCTGCGCGCCGCTTCCCAGCAAATACGGTAAGCGCTCGGCCTAAAAATGTAAGTCTGATCTCATGACACAGGGTGGCCCTGCATTCCTCACCTCTGACATAACCCGCTGGGAGTGTGCTCCGCGGAAAAACACAAACAAGATGTACTGGCGGGCTGGCGGCGGGGGCCGGGCAGCTGGCAGATGTTCCGCAAGAGCCCCCGCGCAGCCCCCCGGGTGCCACAGCGCTGCTCCGGCACAGCCTGTACCCTCCCGGGCAGGGAGGGCGAAGCCACAGCCCATGCTGCGAGGGCAGAGCCGTCCCTGGCCCCCAGCATGGGTGGGTGGGTGGGTGGGTGCCCCCGCCTCCCCCAACCCTGTGCCCCGGGAAGGGGACGTGCTGTGGTTCAGTGTCACCCAGGGCGGCAGCTGGAGTTGTTCCAACATCTCTCCTGGGATTTTTGCTCGGTGAATGCCTGAGGGCGTTTTTAAGGAATTTGAGGTGCTTTTGCAGGTGGTTGGTGGTTGTTATTATTATTATTTTTTTTTTACCTTGTTTTTTGTTTCTTTCCGCACCTGAGTCCTCCTGGGACGGGCTCTGCTCTGGGTCTGCCATGGCCACGGCTGGTGTGGCTGCACCAGCACCAGCTCCCCATTCCCATTAGCCTCCCACTCCTAAGCAGCTCCACAGCAATCCCAAGGCCACGTTTGCTCAGGGTGCCTCATGCCCGGGTGCAAGCTGTGCCCCACAGAGCTTGGCACCCAAAGCCTTGGGTGTCACAGGGAGGTGATTCCTCCCTCCCAGAGCGCTGGGATTAAATGGTTTGTCAGGGATCACGTGGAGAATCCGAGTCCCGCTGTCGTAAACACGAGGCTGACTTTCCTCTCAGCCAAGCCCTCCTGCAAGCACAGCCTTGTCTTTGAGCAGGGGCAGATCCTGCTCGGTGCAGAGCTGCTCTCCCATCTTGGCCAAGCTGAACCACTTGTTTACTTTCTTCTGCAAATGCCCTAAACCTTGTCAACGACCTATTTTCCCTTCTGTTACGCAAAGCTCCTTTCCTAGAAAGAGGCTTTGTAACGCTCGGTCCAACCAGCCCAGCTCTCCTCCGTGTGTGTAAAAGCGAACTGTAAGTGCCTGGCAGGTTCAGTTTAGCTCCAGCACATCCAAAACCCACACGCAGATGAGTCAGGAGGCTCAACAGACGCCACCTGAAACCATCCTGTGAGACAGCTGGCCCGGTTTGCAGAGGAATCAGATAAGCAATAAGTCAGTCTTTGAGTCCGCTCCTCAAACTTTCTTTTCATCAGTGCTTTTCATCCGTCTCCTCCTTCTCCAGTATTCAACAAAGCTAGGAGACAGCTTTTCTCCAGACATTTCTCCTCTGTTTCTGTCCATACCTTTCCCTGGCAGTGAAAACCTCTGATTTTTTTTTAAAATTATTTTCATATTTTGAAAAAGGAAATTTTAAGAAAAATAATTCTCCTCCTTCCTCCACAATACTTCCAAGTTTTCAAGATTGCTACTCCTCTGGCAGAGGATGGTTTGCAAGAGGAAACAAGACAAACAATGGTAATGAGAAACAACAGTATCAAGAGGGGAGAAAAAAATGTTTCAAATTTGCTTCTTCAGAGCACACAACGTTTGATACCAGAGCAGAAGGAGAGAGACTTTGCTCATGGGTCCAAAGCCTCCTTTCAGCCACCCCTTCACCCTGGGGCTCTCCATCCTTTCCTTTTTCTCAAGGAGGTGCCCTGGGCCACTATCAAGCTGTTGGCAGCACAGAGTTATCTTCTCCCCCCAGCACTGCTGGTCACACACAGCTCCTTCCACAATTTCTCCTCCATCTCTAATCCACAGCCCAGGTTTTTAAGACAACACGAAGTCAGCGATGGTTTATTGTAACATGCCAGGCTGTAACCTGAAGCTGGAGGTACAGATTCAGCCTAACAAGTTTCCCTTGGCCAGCTAAGAGCACAGGTTAGAGATTAATCCAACAGCAGCAGATGGTCTGGGCTGGACCCTTGCTGCTTCCCACGGCTGCTCCTTCCCGTCCCCTGGGTACCTGCAGCCTGGTTTGGCATCTGTCCGTGCTCTTGCCTGGACAGACAAGCTGCTCTACACAGAAACAAACGCAGAATTTGAAGCCTGATTGATGTGCTGGGGACAGGGTCTGTTTGTGAATGGCTCGTGCTCCCACCAACACCTACACATGTGCACACACACACACATTTTCCATCAGTTGGAATTATCAGACTTCAAATCACTGCCAGTGGCTCCTTATGTCTCTGTTGTCTTGTCCACGCAGGACAAGGATGATGATGAGGACTCATTTTATCCAGAGAGGTTCTTCAGTGGGTTTTATCCCCAGTTTAAACCACTTAGAGATGATACAGTGAGTGCAGATACTGGGGCAGGTAACAGACCCCCTTGCTCTTTGGGAAGCCATAAGAATGGTGTTTAGAAGAGTGAGTGATCCCATAAGTGACCTGGTCTTCCCTGGATGTAAAACTTCAGGTTGAACCCTTGGATGTGTTCTTGTGCCCCAAAACCAGTAAATTTCCCTTCCTCTCTCTCTTTCTCTCTCCCCCTCTCTCCCTCCTCTCCCTACCTGGCTGCCTGTTTGCACAAACCTTACAGGCTTCAGCACTTTGGGAATGCAAAGGTACCATCAAACAAGGTTGGAAATGATCACCCGGTTCACAAGCAGTGAACAGGAAGCAGACAGAGAAACAGTCTGGTCACATCTGCTTGTTTTCCTGCCAAAAATGCCAGAGACTGCTGGGATTGATGTTAAAAAGCCAGCACCCTCCCAAGGTGCTGATGAACACTTTGGGTATTCATACCTGGAACAGTCTACAGCAAACCTCAATTTTCCATGCTTTTACATCAACGTGGGCACTGTGGAGGCAGCTAGAAGGTCAGCAGGAATAAAAGGCATAATTTTAATTTACCTGAAGAGGTATAAATCAGGTGAGGAGGTGGTGGACATTTCTTCCTGCTGTAGACCTGGAAAAGGTTTAATATCCTCCTGCGTGGCTGAGCAGAGCTGTCCTGCTCCTTTTCCCCAACCCCTGACCAAGGCAGGGAGTCTCACACATGACTGGAGAAGGTTTAATATCCTTGGAGGAGGGAGCAGCCTAGAAGATGGGTTTGTAGGAATCTTTTTATCTATTTCAGCTGACTCATTTGGGGTGAGATGGGCTGTGCCCCAAAAGGGCCATCCCTGGCTGTAAAGGAAGCACAGGGAGACTAACCCAGGCACTGCAGCTGTGATCTGGTGAGGCATCAGAAGCACGTGGCAGCACCCCTGAGCATCAGCCACTTCTGCAGGCTCTAAAAACCTGACAGAGTCACCTCTTGACTGTCCCTGTGGTCAGGAAGATGCAATAAGATCCTGGTATTTTTGCATAAGGATCCAGATGTCCTGCCTGGGTCCTAGTAGCAGGACACAAAGCAGCTTTCAGCATCCACCACTTTTCCTCCCTGAAATTCTCTCCTGAAAAATAACATGATGCCTGCTTCAACTGTATATGCCCTGCCTGGAAAATCCATGGAATAAAGGGCTCTTGACTGGAGCTGTTCTCTGAGCAGCAGTAGCCCTGCAAATAATTTTCCCAGGTTTTCAGGCAAGTTCTGAGTGTGGCATAAGGCTGAGATAATCTGAAATGCAAGTGGTCTTCAAGAGAGCGCTATCTAGTCATGGTATTGTATTTTTAGCCTGCTGCTAAATGCACACTGAATGCAAACAAGTAAGGAGCTGGCTGGTGGGCTGATGTCTGTGCTTGCTTATACAGGGATTATTGGGCACCTGGGATTTTCAGTGGCACTGCACTGTCAGGGCTAACAGGTAGTGAGTGTCTTTGGGGATCTTGGCTGTGAACAGAATCAAGCCCCTGAGCCCCCAGGCATGGACTGCTTCAGTGTTCCCACAAGTGCTGAAATAAAGCACCTCCACAACCAGTCAGCTGTGCCTCAGCAGGGTCTGTTTTCTGTAGCTGATGTGCTGCATTTGGTACTTTGGCCCATAATGATGAACAGTTAGTCCCAGCATCCCCTCTTCTGCAGAGACAGAAGATAAAAAAGTTGGATGCTCTGAACAGAGCAAGGCTGGGATGTTGGCAGGCACCTTTACCACAGAGGCAGCACTAATATATTTCTAGTTTCATTAGTTTTCTCCATTTTAAAACTGACACCCTTGGAAGCAGCAAGTAGGGGAACTCCAACGTCAGAATTAAAAATTAAAAAAAAATAAATAAAAAAAAAAAGACAAGAAAAAAGCTGCTTTAGAGCACCCAGAAGTCACAGCAACCACGGGGAAATAAACTGTGTCCTGGAGTTATTATCTGGCTGTAATTCCGTGCACAGCTACAGGATAAATAGCCTGTTCCTGGAAGTGCTCTTTCCATGGTTGCAACTATGGGCTTAGATTTAAGGTCAAATTGCCTGACTTAGCAAATTGAAGAGTGTCAGCTGATCCACAGTAACTACCCAAGTTCATGCAGGAGTAGTGCTGTGCCTCCCAACCTTCTCCGTCAGTGTCTGAAACCAATCTCCCCTAAACCAGTAATTCCCAAACCCCAGTGCCTGGGCTGTGATTCAGCAACACAAGGAGCATCCCAAAAGACAGCCCCTAAAATATTCAGGCACAAACTGAAAGCTATGCTTTGTGTCCGTACATGAAAATTCCTTTTTCAAGGCTTTCAAAATTTCAGCACTTGAAATTTCCTTTCACCTTCACTTCTGACTAAAGGGTGGAAGGAAGAAAACACAGCCCTATCTGCAGTCACTACTGGACAGAAAAGTCCCACTACTGTCTCCTTCATCAGACAGGAAGGACCTTCAGAGTGTTGTTGGAAGGTCACATATTTCATTGCTATCTTGTTTTCCATGGAACTGCAGGCTGCTGCTTCCCAAGGCAGAGGATCCAGCCCCTCTGGGCTCACTTAGGAAATGTCACTGACTTGCTGCCATCCTCCAGTTGCTCTGATGAGGAGAAGTCAGTCGCCAAGATCCTGGTCCTCAATTCCACTGGTGTGTTTGGGAATCTGTTCAGCTTTCCTCTAGATCCAGCATGGCTTCATGAGCCCACGAGGAGAATACTGGCCCAGCAAAAGTCTGCCATTTTTAATTCTTCACTCTGGTTTCCTCTTTCTAAACCTAAATGTGCCCACAATTGAGTTTTCTTTTCCCTGTTTTTCTTCTCCCTGAGTTTCTCAGAGCAGTAGGCATACAGCAGTGACTGTGGGATTTAATGAGGTTTGTGCTGTTAGTTGATCCAGGAAATGACTGATGTGGATAGCAAGGCAATTTCCAAGATCTGCAGTGAGAATTGTATGGCCAGTATCATTGTGTTCAAATAATAATTTGGTTTCTAATACCTTTACAGGGTGCTAGAACACTACCCCAGCCATTGGAGGATCAGAGGTTTGTGACATGGAGGAGGAAACCTGGAGCCAGTAACACTGAGATCATCAGCTGGATTGTGACAGATGTGACAGAGGAGGCTGGAAAACCTCAGGTAACCACTTGAACCACATTCAACCAACTTCCTGTGGAATCTGATAAAGCCTTAAACACTGGTGGGGCTGGGAACTGCTGTGAGCACTGTCATCCAGAACAGTGACAGACCCTAGGGTGCTCTGCAGCCAGTGGGGAGCTGCAGGACCCCCCTCAAACCACCCTTAGATGGTGCTTTTATTTCTTACCACTGATGAGGTACAGAACTAGGGACCTGGCAGCCCTGGAAATGCAAAATTCCTGATGTAACCGTGGTTTTCATGACAACAGTAGGTGCCGAATCTGTAACAAGCCCCATTGATGGCAGTTTGGGGAGAGCCCTTGGTTTTACAGTGCTGTGTCTGGTGGGCAAATTTCTCCCAGCCCTACGTGGTTACCAGTTCTCCCTGATGTTTGCAGCTGGAAAACTGCAAAGAAAAAGAGTCCCATAGTGCAGCATCTTAACCCATTTACTACAAAATAAGACAATTAAGGACCGGAAACACTTCCTAACAAAGTGCTACAGAGACATGATGATGCTGTTTGTTCTCTCTGGACTTGAGCCCAGGGCCTGTGACCAGACCTGTCATACCCCCACACCTTCAAAGCCAGAGTCTGGGCTGTGTTTTTGCTCTCCTATCACAGGGTGAGAGCTTTCCTGGAGCTACCAGAAGAGCCCAAACACTTTCTTCTGTAATCTGTCATGCCTGTCAGGATGCCAAGAGACACGCCAGACCTGGACCCTGGGCCAGAACAGCTATGTAGACATGCCCAGAAAGGAGAGCTGGCACAAGGTGTTGTATAAAGTGAGATATGTGGAGCTGCAGGCAAATAGTTTGGTAATTGCATGGGTAGGTTAGGCTTGGCACAGGGCAGAGCATGTCTGCTCAATGAGAAAGGAAGAGGCAAAACAGCTTGGAAAAGGTGTGGAGCCTGTTTCAGTGGGAGCTCGGGAGAGCTTCAAGGGGTTAAGCAGTAATAACTGCCTGAGAAGGGTTTGAGGTGAAGCACTCAGTAATATCCCAACGAGGCCACAAACACCCTTTCAACAGGGTTGATCCAGGGGAAAAAAAAATAAATCACATTCCTGATAATTAATCCCATTTCATGATACGGTTCATGAGAGACGGGAGGGGGGAGTGTGCACCTTGCCCACTGTTTGTGCAGGGGGATATATTCCCTAAGAGCTTGTTACTGGTGCTCAAGGCCATCCAGGCCCCTGATGAGCATCTTTGATCAAAGTCTTTCCAAGCCGATCTATTTTCAGCCCAACCCACTCAATACCTTGATTGCCACACAGCTCTTTTAGCTGCTCTTAGGTAAACATGCTGTCTTCTCCTTGGCATTTTGCCTTGCTAAGCCCAAAAATACAAGTGGCACAGAAAATGAGAGAAGCTGCTCTCCTTCGCCAGGAAAAATGATGCTATTTCTGAAATAAGCTGGTTTTAATACACCTTACTGGCCATGCATGGGTATATTTATTTATAAATATACTTGAACTGGAGGTCCAGCTGTTGGATGCCTATATGGAGACAGGATCAGAGAGAGAATTATGTACATATAAACCCTGACACACCTTCAGCCCAGTTGCTGTCTGCATGTAGAATCTTGGTTATGCTGAGGTATCAGAGTCTGACTCCCATTAAGGAGGGTTCATGTGAACGGGTCCAAGCTCAAACCAGTGGGTTATGGTGTGTTCTGGAGAGCTGCCACTGCTGTGCTGGGCTTAGGGAGGGCAACAACCCAGATTCCCATGCTGGGAATTGCTTGCACCCCCTGGTGGAGCTGGAAGTCAGGCCAGACACTCTGGGGACCCCTTGGAGCTCAGACCCACAGCTGGTGGCAGTGCACAGCAGGTTGGTGCTGTCTGTTTGCTCACATCCTTGGTTCTCTGTGGGCTGAGGTGGGCCTCACATGAGATGCAGCACTGCACAGGACACATTTCACAAGTACTCCCTCAGTCAGCATCCCTGGGACTGAGCCACAGCCTTGAGCAGATCCAAATCAGAGCTCAGTCCACGGCAGATCTTATTTTTGAGGGATGACAGTGACACTGGCCAGAGCTTGAAGTCATGTTTTCAGTTTTCCCCTTAGAAAGTAAACATGAAAAAGTCAACAGCAGATGGAGCATCACATGGAGTTACACAGGTCAGCACAGACTGCAGAGAAGCCCTGAGTCTGAAGAAGAAATAATTTGGAGGGGGGAGCAGCTGGGAGATTGTTCTGAGGGATTGAGAAAGAAAGCAAAAAAATACTGGCTTGAGCCTCCGCTGTGATAGAGCAGCTGAAAGCCTTGGGTTTGTGGAAGAAGGCAAAGATGGGCAGATAACAGAGCACTGACAGCTCCTGGGTAGGACAGTTGTGGGGTTTTTTTGGAGACTAGAGAATGCAAGCAAAAAGGTGTTAAACTGATCACAGAACAGGCAGGAGTAAAGCAGGCAAATGCAAAACAAAACTGGATTTTTTGTAACAGGAGCAGGTCGAAGCAATGCGACAGAGAAGGAGAGATTTTCAGTAGTTCAGAGAGCACTGTGGGGAGTCTGGGGTGAGAAATGAGGGATTCAGGTGAGTGGAGTGCTGCAATAATGGGCTGCAGTGTGGAGGAAGATGGAAGGCAGGACAGGGAATAGAGAACACCTATTAATAAAAAAAATCCACAATTCATTTAAGATTTATTGATACCTCAGAGCCAGAGAGCCTTCCATGCCTTTGCATCTTTGAGCTGACATTACCCAAGAGTGGGCAGTGTCAGGGATCCGTTATGAGCCCTTGGATTGAAGTGGAGAAGAGCTCTGGACGTTAATTTGCAGAAATTAAAAAATTTTGGTTAATAGAGATCTCAGCCTGAGAAGCCTGTGCTTCAATAGCAGAACAGCATTAGTGTTTCTGAAAACACAGCTGGTCATTGCTGAACATGCACTATCATGCATCAAAAATGCAATCACTCAGCTGGGGACCTCAGGATGGTGGCTGTGGATTAATTCAGCGCTGGACAAAAAATTGATGGTTGCTTTGGGACCAGTGTTTACTACCCAATGACATTCTAAGAAAGGACAGTCCCATCTGGTCGTGGGGAGAGCAGTGACGGTGCAAAAAGATAAAGTGATCACAGTGGACAAAGAGCAGGCCACGAACTCACCCCAAAGGAGGGTCAGGAGGGACTGGTTTTGTCGTGGAGGTGAAGGGCTGAGTCAATATGGGAAGGGATGTGAGGGTAAAGTTGCTTCCACGCAGGGTGTTAATGAAACAGGTACTGAGAAGTTCCCGTTAGAAACAATGCTGGGAAGCTGGGGACGGTGAGTCACCAAAATAATGTGATAATAAATGTCATAATAAATATTTAGCACAGGGAGAGGGCTAACAAACAAAAGCTAAAATTGGGAGTGGACTTCATTACAGCTCGGGATTGCTTCCGAGGGAGAGGATAAACGATGCAGGGCTGCCTGATCTGTGGGAGAAAAATAGCATAGAGTGGAGAGCAGGTCCAAGTGAATTTGTCTTCCAAAGGAGGCAGCTTTTTTAACATCGATGCCGACAAATTATCAGGATACACTTAAAGGGCAGCAGTATATATTCCCCCCCACCAAACCTTGTGTGCAGCCAGCAGACACCCTGGCAGGCCATGAGGGGAAAGAGGCACCTTGCAGGCACTGTAACTCGTTTGGTCCATTTTGGATTTCTGCTGGAAAATGGGACAAGTTGTTCCTGGTCCCCATCAACCGCTCCATCAGGAATTCAACAGATTTAAGCAGATGAACAGAGCACCTGATACTTTCAAATCAGTGCTGCTCACGTGACAAATGGAGCTTTAAGCCAGAAGATGGGCTCCTAGAGGGGGAACTGATGTCTTTAATAGCCTGTGAATGGTCAGAGGTTGGGATTTTCCCGGCTCTGCCCGTGCATCCCCACTCAGCGCCGAAGGTAATGGTAGGCAATTTACCTATCGGCAGCTTTTCATGCTGAGCAAATATTTGTCTTACCATAGCTTTAACGTGCCCATCTCGGTGACAGCTAAATGTCAACCACAAAATAAAGCAGCGCCCCGAGGGAGAGACCACACGCTGCTCGTGTGGCTCCGGGTTTTATCGGCGCATCGGGAGCGAAGTCTGGCTGTGAAGCAACATAAAGAAACCCTCTATTCCCAAAGGTGGCATTTGATGGGAACTTGGGGCATCTTGGCCTATTGAGGCTGTTTTTGAAGCCCGTGGAGCTTTAGCATTGGGTCTGCTGATGAACAAATGATCTCCGAGAGCAACCCCCTCTCCCTCCCGTTCCCAGGGCTCGGTTGTTTCTGACACCGATTTGCTCTCGGGTGTTTGCAGCCAAGTTTCTCGTCCGGTGACGGCGTGTTCCCCCTCCGGAAGGGGCTGCGGGGAGCCACAGCTCCGCGGGCTTTGTGACATTTGGAGTGACCGGGAGGTCACTCGGACGGAAGAAAACAAAAGCAGCGGCGGCCACGGAGCGGCCCGCAGAGGGGAAAGCACGACCAGGGTATTTAAGACCTGCGTTTTGCTTCACACCACATTCCTTCTACTTCCTATAAAATATTTTTTTTAAACCACTGGCAAATCTTTTTTCTCCTTTTCTCATTTCTCCTTTTCTCATTTCTTTTTCCCCTTCCCTTCCCTTCCCTTCCCTTCCCTTCCCTTCCCTTCCCTTCCCTTCCCTTCCCTTCCCTTCCCTTCCCTTCCCTTCCCTTCCCTTCCCTTCCCTTCCCTTCCCTTCCCTTCCCTTCCCTTCCCTTCCCTTCCCTTCCCTTCCCTTCCCTTCCCTTCCCTTCCCTTCCCGTCCCGTCCCTTCCCTTCCCTTCCCTTCCCTTCCCTTCCCTTCCCTTCCCTTCCCTTCCCTTCCCTTCCCTTCCCTTCCCTCCCCTCCCCTTCCCTTCCCTCCCCGCCCCTCCACTCCCCGCCCCTCCCTCCCCGCCCCTCCCGTCCATCCCCTCCCCTCCCCTCCCCGCCCCCTCCCCCCTCCCCTCCCCTCCCGCCCCTTTCCAAACCGTCCCAAACCTTCCCAAACCTTCCCAAACCTTCCCTTCCCTCTCCTTTCCTTTTCCCTCTCCTTTCCTTTTCCCTCTCCTTTCCCCTCTCCCCTCCCCTCCCCTCCCTTCCCCTTTTTCCTCTCTTTACTTTCTTCCTCCCCAGTCCTCTTCTTTCTTCTCTCTCTCTCCCAGGTGCAAGCTCAGGGCTGTGAGGGCTCTGGCTCCACGGTCCTGGCCATGAGCCATGGATGGAGGAGCAGGAGAGCAGTAGGGAGGGCTGACCTTGCAGCACGGAGGGAAGTGTCTGCCAGCTCCAGTTTGGTGGCAGAGTTTGTGCTACAGCAAGGAGGGACAGAGGCAGCTCTGGGAAAGGGCTGAGGAGGGGTGGGCAGCAGAGAAAAATAAAATGACAAAGAGCTTGAGAGCGGTGCAGCAGGGCTCAGATCTCTTGTGCACCTGCCTCTGTCTCAGCTGCGTTTAAAGTCCCCATTTCTCAAGCAATTGTAACTCTCCAGGGAGAGGAAGGAAGGAGAATCCATGGAGGTGATCTGGGACATCCCCAGAATAAAGCCAGATTCTGCTGGAAAAGCCTGTAAAAAGCCAGTTCTGTAAAGGACCCAGATCCTGCTGTAGCATCCTCAGGTTATATGTGTGCTGAGCTGAAGCATGTCCAGAGAAAGGAAACGGAGCTGGGAAAGGGTCTGGAGCACAGGTCGGATGAGGAGCAGCTGAGGGAGCTGGGGAGGCTCAGCCTGGAGAAAAGGAAGCTCAGAGGAGACCTTATCACTTTCTACAACTCCCTGAAAGGAGATTGTAGCCAGGTGGGGGTCAGTCTCTTCTCCCAGGTAACAAGCAATAGGACCAGAGGAAATAGGCTCAAGCAGTTCCAGAGGAGGTTTAGATGGGATATTAGGAACTATTGCTTCACAGAAAGGGTTTTCAAGCCCTGGAACAGGCTGCCCAGGGAAGTGGTGGAGTCACCATCCCTGAAGATATTTAAAAGACATGAATATGTGGCACTTGGGCACACAGTTTAATGGGGACACATTTAATATACGGGGACACAGTTTAATGGTAGACTTGGCAGTGATGGGTTAATGGCTGGAGTCGATGGTCCTTTCTTACCTAAGTGGTTCTATGATATTCAAGTCTGGAGAAAGATATTCAGGATGGACTGAATTCATTCTGTTCTTCACTTGCCACATTCTCTTCATCATCCTTAATGCAATATGTATGAGGATCCTGGTGAGCTCATTGACTTGTGCTCATAGGACCAGGAATAAATGAGGTTGGAAGGGACCTCAGGAGGTCACCAAGCCAAATCTTCTGCCAAGAGCAGGAATCAGGAATAACTAGGCACTCGTTGTTAGGCTTCCCCTCTCAGCTGGCAAGAACCACTGCATAAATATTCCCTTTATTAACCATTTGAATCTTCTATTTCAAGCTGTAGCTAGAGCTGTACAGGCAGATTCTGGCCCTGACACCTTTCAGTCCAAGAAAGGACTGTATCATCACCCCTCTTGTATTAGTGATTTGCCACATCCCACACCAGCCTGCTCAATTTGGTGGCTTCCCCATCCTCACTGCCTCTGCTCCTGCCCTCTTCATGCTGCCCTCAAGCTCCCTCTCAGGGCTGAGGATTGTTCACTCTCCCTGGACTCCTAATTCAAGTCTTTCTCCTCCTGCCATGGGCCAACTCCTCCTCAGCTTCTGCTTTGGTTTAAAAATGGTTTTAAAATATTTCCGAGTATATACAATGTGTTTGCAACATCCTTTGAGTCAGAATATTGTTTGTTCTTGCAGCCTTTGTCCACGTCACCTTCCTTTCCCTCCTCTTAGGCTTTCTTCCTGTGCCAAGCTTTACCTTGGAAAGGGCTCTTCTTTGCACCTGCTCAAAGTAAGGAGAGGGGAAAAGAGCTTTGGTAGGTTTTACTTTTGCTTTTTTCCCCAAAGTATTTGGAAATGTTGGTGGTGGTTGTTTTTTAAAACTTTAATGGCAAATTTCAGTACTGAAGCTTTCCATCCTGGTAATGGGGCTTTTGCCAGAAAACAAAAGAAAGGGGAGGGAAGCCTCAAGGAGCAGTTAAATTTAGTTTTCCAACTCCGTTGCATAAAGAAACCCAGACAGCTTTTACCAAGATTTGCTCTTGCAGAAAGACAATTTGTTTGTGATTTGCAGGGCCTGTTTTTACTTTAGATGAAGACTAATAAAAGCAAAGTTTTTGCTACACCACAGTGTGTTTATCTTTTCCACTCCAGGCCGGAGGACACACTCCAACCCGGAGGACAAGGAGCCACACGCAGATCTGCTCCTTAGCAGTGAAGCAAGGTATTGCTTTAGCACCTGCAGTGCTCTGGATTCAAGTGCAGACTCCACATGTTCCTTTGCTGAGTCCAAGGAAGAGGACAGGCTGCCAGGAAGGGAACAGACCCACAACGGTGGAGAGAGAAAACAGAGTTCAGGGCTTGGAGCTCCAAACTTGTCAACCCAGCACCTCACTCCTGGTTCTTGGGCTTGTGTGAGGATATTCTTCGCAATGCCTGATCCTTCCCTGTGCTGTACATCAAAAGACTCTGGATTAGCTCCATAGTACCCTGCAAAACCACCCAGGAGAGACGTGCTGTTGCTGAACCCCTGTCAGGAGCAGATGGATGATTATGGACATTGCCCTGAGGGACATGAAGTTCACCATGTCTCCAGCTCTTGAAATCTTAACTATGCTCTTTCTGGGAGGTCACTTAAGCTGTGGTTTCACAGGAATCTCATGCAATCACAGAAGACAGGGTGCCTAAAGTGATACCAGAAGTAGCTGTACCCCCACCTCTCTCTGAGGGCAATGAAACATCAGAGTGAGCAAAGGGAAGATGATGGATCTCCATCACTAGAGATTTTGAAGGATAAGGAGGAGAAATGTCCATCAGGAGTGACACAGGCTGAGTCCATTCTGCACAAGGACAGAAACTGAGTCCTGCCTCTGCAGAATCCAAAGGGCTCTATGTAAGCTCCTTCCCATGATGGTCAGTGGGGATCTTGGCAGTACCCAGGGCCCCATGCATAGGCATTGAGGTCTGTTGGAGGTGACATTATGGATCCTGCTCCTACTCTACAATGTACATCCCCCTCTGGCCTCAGGGGTTACTTATTTCAGCCCAACAGGGTGACCCAGTCAACACCTGGGTGCCAGGAGCCGTGGAGGAGCTTCCTGACCTGTGGCTCCCAGAGAGATAATCTGGACAAGATAACACAACCCAACAGCTCCTGTCCAGAGGGAGATGAGAAACAGAATGTGGCAGAAGAGGAGCCCAGGAGGAAAGCCCACCCAAGAACCACAGGCGAGGGCACCCATAATAAACATAATAAACCCATAATAAACAGGGGAGTAGCTGGAGAAGCAGCACCCTTGGATATGTCAGTCCAGCTGTGTGTCACCTCCAACAGCATCCTGCAACCCACACATGGCCTGACCCAAAGCCCTTTGGTGCAAATAAGGAAGAGCCTTGCTGCCAGGAACAACCTGGATGGGGTGCAATCAGGGAGAAGGGCGAGGAGCGTTGTGCAACCCTCTGCCAAGCATTTCTCTGGGAGAAAATAAATGCCAAGAGCCACTTGGCACTCCCCTGTTCCCATCCCCTCCTTCAGGGAGATGTGCCCCAAGGGGAAAATCTGAACAGTTTTGTATTCTGGGGGGAGGCTGGACCCAGGGTCAAGGCTGTGTGATGGCTGTGCCGAGGACACAGCACGTGACAAGGTTCAATTAAAACATTTCACAGGCAGAAGGCTGACCTATTCACAGAGAAATTGGTCTTATAAATAAAATGAATGTGTGTAGGACAAACAGTGAGCCTGTCAACCCCGCAGGCCCTGCCTGGAGCGCTGGGAAATATTTTATTGGGATATAAAGTCTTAAATGCCATTCTCCATGCATGGATGGGGGCTGTGTGGCTCTTCATCAGCGAGCCCCACTGCCTGCTCCTGCATTTTGATTCACGGCTGAGTGGGAACCTTCAATTCCCTCTGGTGGCTTTGCAGAGCGTGATTGACACCCCGCAGGTCAGAGTCTGACTTCAGCTCCCTAGTGCCCAGAAACATGGAGAGCAGAGCTCAGGGCCACAGGGACATCACTGAGAGGAGCCCCGTTCTCTCCAGGCCAGGCTGGAAGTGCTCTGGTACTTCCCACACCCCCATCACACCATCTCCGTTCCACTGATGCCATTAGCATGGGGGCAGAGGGGACAAACCCTTCCCAGTCACGTTTTTCTCCAGCTCCATCCTTATAGCCTTCCCTCCTTGGCCAGAATCGGGAAAAAAAAACAAACAAAAAAAAAAAACAAAAAAAAAACAAAACAAAAAAAAAAAAACAGAACAACAAACTGAATTCCCATCTTTTCCCCATTGAGTCGATTCACCCTGCAAAGGGCCCTTTCTGAGGAGGTGGGGACTGGGGGTGTTCAGCAGAGTCAGCCCCAATCTCCTGAAACCCCAGCATAGACCAAGTGGGTGTAAAAGCAGCTCTGCTGACGCCTCCAACCCCTGTAGACGTTTAATGGCACTTGTACCAGTGCTAATTACATCTTAACATTTTCCCTCTGTATTTTGGTATTTATTTTGGAAAAGCTCCTCCCTGGACTCATTTTCTTCCTCAGCTTTAAAACAATAACACCACCACGCTTGCTTTTCCCTTGGCTGTTTCCCTCATTATTTTAACTCTGCCATTCTGCTCCTGTACAGTCAGCAGAGGAGTTCAATCAGGCTGATGAGTAAAAGTGCATAATTTTATGGCTGCCTATCAACTGCCTGTTATTAAACTAATCAATCAGCTTCAGTGCAGCTACCAGTACAGCACAGGAGAGGACAAGGCAGGGGAAATGCTATGCCGTTATTTTTCCAAAAGGAAAAAAAAATAATACAATCTGGCCAACCACATTCTTCAGCTTGTCCTTCTCTGCAGGGAGAAATGACTCCAGTGAGTTATGGAGTAGGTGACCTGCAGGAAGGTAGTGAGAAGTTTGCAGTGTCCTTCTGCTCGCCCTGCAGTGCCAAGCCAAAATGCTCAGCAATTCTCATGCTCCAAAAGACCAGGAAAGTCATCAGCTGCTCTCCCATCCCATCTTGCAGTGTCCCACTGCAGGTGCCTCCCACCTCCTCCAGCAAAGCATTTAGGCATATATTAAGTAAATCCCATTGAAGGCAGCAAGATCATTACCTGAGCCCATTCTTTTGGCCTTAGGGTCAGCAGTCATGGAAGAAGTTAGAGAGCTGATTTCCAGTGGTCTTACTCCCAGTAGTTGTCTCCTCTGATGGTCCTAGTGAGACTTTCGGGTGGCAGAAGGAAGGAAAGGATGCATAAACCTCCTTTTCCGTAAATAATTAGACTCTTTCACACTTTCACTACCAGAAAATGTAGAAATTACTTCCCCATCCTGTTTGGGGCACAGCACACAGGCCAAGGTCTGCATCTGAAAGGCTGCTGAGGGCACCAAGGGACAGCCCGTGTCCCTGAGGGGCAGGACAACTAAGGGACAAGCTACATTGCACCAAGAGAAATCTGGACAACATATCAGGCAAAGCTTCTTGCTGAAGCAGGGTGAGCAGGCACAGGGACACATTCCCAGGAGGTTGTGGAGATCTCCTAGACCAAGCCCTAGATGTTGCTACTTCTACAGCAACGTCTGTTTGGGCTGGACCTGGTGAGGTTCTGCTTGAAGCCACAGATGGGAGTGATGGTCTTGGGGGGTCCCTTGCAGCTCTGAGTCCATGGGAAAGACCAACTCACCTTCCCTTGATCTCCAAGAGAAGGAGGAGATGATGTAACAGGGCTTTGAACCTCAGAGCAAGTCAATGGGATCTTCTGTGTTGATAAACAGGAGTGAAGAGAGAGGGAGAGAAGGAGGAAAGAGAGGAAGAGAGGGAGGGAGGGAGGGAGGGAGGAAGGAAGGAGCGGAGGGAGGGAAGAAAGAAGGGGAAGGAAGAAAGGAAGGGAAGGAGGGAGGGAGGACAAAGACATGGAGATCACTTGCCAGTTAGTCCCTCTTCCAACTTGCAGCTGTACTTCCCTCTCTCTCCCTTGTGCTTCCCTCTCTCAGCCGCGTTCCCTCCATCTCCTACATATAAAGAGTCAAGTTGCACAAAACAAAGCAGGCAAAGCTCTCTGCACTGTACCCTCTAAATTCTGTGAGTCTTTAGCCTGGACGTGCATCCCCAGACCCACAGAGGAAAGGGAAAGGGAAAGGGAAAGGGAAAGGGAAAGGGAAAGGGAAAGGGAAAGGGAAAGGGAAAGGGAAAGGGAAAGGGAAAGGGAAAGGGAAAGGGAAAGGGAAAGGGAAAGAAAGGAAAGATGTCCTCAGCCAGCCTGAGCATCCTTCCCCAGTTAATTGTATTCACTTATACAGATTAAATTGCACTGTCTCCTTCTTGGGTCGTTATTTATCACCGGGTTTACTGTCGCATCCACAGGTGCAGCCGCTCTGTGCCGGGCACTGCGGAGCACACAAATAAACACGGTCCCTGTGCTGGAACTTGCCGCCCCGGCTGACCGGGAGTAACTCGGCGTGGACCCGACCCAAAGGCTCTTCCCGGGCAGGGAAAGCAGCCCTGCGAGCCCCCGCGCCGTCCCGCTGGCCGGGGCTTGGCAGCGGGGGCTGCGGGCTGACAGCTGACGTCCTCCCCAGCCCGTTTCCTCCCGCCGCTGCCAAGCCACTCGCAGAGCACTTCTCGAAATGAATTTTCTGGAAAACAAATTAAAGGAGGGGTTACATCACGCAGCAGACAGCCCAGCCGGCACCGGGCTGCGCTGACAGACCCTGCCTGTGTTTTTTGGGCTGCGCCACATTGCTCGCAGCTGCTGCTGGAATCTGCAGCTCGCCATCTAAATCTGCCGTAACCATGAAGTGATCAAAGCGGCCCGATGTTATTGTCTGCTCTCTGATGGACGGCGCGGGGCAGGGTCTCCCGGAAACCTCCACTTACTTCGGGTTTTTTTTCCCTTTGCAAAAACCCCAGACAAACAAAATCGGGGAGGGGTGCAGGGAGCGGGAAGCAAAGGACACTCCAGCGGGTGTTACGGCAGCACAGTCGAGGTCTCGGGAGTCGGGAAATTCCAGTCCCCGCAGCCTGCTGGTCGGAGTGCATGGAGGGCAGGGGTAAGCGAGGGGGGGGAAAGAATATGCTGCCTGCTGGGAAATCATCCTGAGCTAGGCTGGGATCTCAGTGACCTGGGCTCCCTCCCCAGCACCGCCACATCCTCCTCGCGCAGCCTCGGGCGTATCACTTTGGGTCGTTTCGGCAGGAATCGTCACTCTCCATCAGGCGTGCCCATCCATCAAGAGCTTCCTTGGGAAACCCAGCGTGCCCCCAAACCCTTCCTCTATGTGATACTTGTAAATAAAGCAAGCGGGGGTGAGTTCCCTGTGCCAGAGCCGCAGCACAGCCATGTGAGGGCACCACAGGGGCCAGACCAGCGCCCGGATGGGGATGAGGTCTCCGGTCTAGCAGAGTCCAGCAAGTTCCCAATGCAGAGGGAACCATGCCAGCCCACACCTTTGCTTGTGCAAAAACCTTCAGCCATCAATTCTCCCCCGTAAATCTTTATTCAGGTGAGCTCATCGGCGCTGCCATGGAAAACAAGCACTGCTGCAAATGAGGAGTCATGAATAATCATGCTGGCTATTTTGAAAGGCTTTTTACGCTTTGCATGAGAGATCCAAAGAAGATCTGCTTTTAAATAGAAGAATAGTCCTCTGAAATGTTTGGTTCGGTCTGCAGCCAAGAGATGATCTGCAGCACCTCACCCCAGTGACAGCGAGTCCCCTGCCACGCACTGCTGCAGGGTCAGGCAGGGAAGGAGGGAGGATGGGGCAGCAGTGACAGCACCAGCTTCTGATCATTCCTCTCCTTGCCATCGGCTGTCTGTGGGATGTGGGGCTGAACCTGCCCTGCCTCAGCTCTGCAACTGCAAAATGGGGAAAAGTGCCATGTGCACGGTCATTAGCATTTTACAACCATTAAAAGACTATGAACTTCTATACTAGGCAGGCTGAGAAAGTTGGGGTTGTTCAGCCTGGAGAAGAGAAGGCTCCAGGGAGACCTTAGAGCCCCTTCCAGTGCCTAAAGGAGGCCTGCAAGAGGGCTGGAGAGGGACTGCTCACAAGGGCATGTAGTTAGGGGACAAGGGGGAATGGCCTTAAGCTGAAGAAAGGCAGGTTTATATTAGACATTAGGAAGAAATTCATTACTGTAAGAGTGATGAGGCCCTGGCACACATTTCCCAGAGAAGCTGTGGCTGCCCCATCCCTGGAAGTGTCCAGGGCCAGGTTGGAGAGGGCTTGGAGCAACCTGGGCTAGTGGAAGGTGTCCCTGCCCATGGCAGGGCGTTGAAATGAGATGATCTTTAAGGTCTTTTCCAACCCAAACCATTCTATGATTCCATGATTCTATCCTCTGTAGAGGAAGCTCTCTAAATGGCTGAAATTAAGGGATACAAATAACTTTTGCATAAGAAAGTCCTAATCCCAGGCCTCTGGCCATGCATTTATTGTGGCTCCAGTGAGAGGCTTCTTGTTACCTGTTTCCATTTAAGCTGGGCACATACCACCCATTCTTTACAGAGATAATTTAATTCCTTCCCCCTCCACCAGTTCTTTCTCTTGCTGCCTAATACACTCCAACCAGGAATTAAGGATACAAATGCAAAATCTCCACTTGTTCTTTAATTTCTTTCCTGTGAGCCCTCAGTCCAGCTCTCCAGCCTGCCCTGTCCAACCTGGGAAAGCCCCCCCAAAAAAGGAGAGAAAAATGACAGTGGAGAAAGTGCTTGCCTTGCTTTAGTTAAGCCTGTAGCAAAATATTTCTTTTGCTACCTATTTATTAGTATTCTGGTACAACAGGGAAAGGGTTATCAAAACAGTTACTGGACCATGGGAAACCTCTTTTTTGCTGAGAATAAGAGATTTTTGGAGAGCCACCTCTGGTAGCTTTATGCACTTCTGCTTCCCTGATGAATATTTTCATATTCTCAGTTTCAATGTAGGATGACTGTCGTGTTGGGCCACACAGTGCACATCTGGTCTGTGCAGAGCAGAGACAGAGAGGGCATGTTCTCAGTGTGATCCTCTTTCATTACACCTCCCCTTGAACCCAAACATCTGCCATCGTGTCCAGTGACTTGAGCCAAACAAACCACCTTCAGAAAATAAAAGCAGACCCAACTGATGTTAGCAAAAAGGACTAGAAGCATGGGAGGGGAAATGTAAGCCAAGAGAAAGTGGGAGGAAGAAAATTGCAAGGAGCAAATATCTGGAGAATGATCCGATAACCACAGAGCAGCAGCCCCTTAGTTGTCAATGGAAAAAAAACCAAACCAAAACAAAACAAAACAACCAACCAAACAAAAAAAAACCAAAACCAAACCAAAACAAACAAACAAAAAACACCACAAAAACAAACAAACAAACAAACAAAAAAAACCCACCCAAAAACCAACCAACCCAGAGAGCTGGTAAAATTTGCAGGCAGCATGAAAACAAGACTGGTGGCAAATAGCCACGGGCACAGGCTGGTTGTGCAGGTAGATGCTGATGGCTGAAGTGGGAACCCCGAAACAGCTCATTTCAATGTGGCCACAGGAAGAGGCAGATGTTTTTGGAGCAAGGGATGTGGGTCACACCTAGGACAGTGGGGGATGCATCCTGGAAATCAGTGACTCAGAACCAAATTGAATGGTCCTGGTAGACAATTGCTTGTGTATGAACTCCCAGCAATGTCTTAGCCAAGAAGGTTGGAGTAATCCTTGGCTGCGCAGCCGGCAAATATGAAGTGGGAGTGCTGAAGTGATATTATCTCTGTAAACAGCATTAGTGAGGCCATTTCTGAAAAGTTATGTCTAGTCCTGATGTTCACATGTCCAAAAAAAGATCTTAGGGAAGCAGCAAAGATTCCTGCCAGAGAGATTTCAGGCATTGAAAACCTGCTCTAGAGAGAAAACCATATCCAAGAGAAGAAAACGAAGTGACTTTACTCCCGTTTACCAGCACAGGTGTAAATGCTGGAAATAACACCAAGAAAAGTTGTAATGAGATGGAAACTAAGAAATTTGGATTAAATCCAAGTGAGAGATCTGAACCAGTTGTGCAGAGGTCAGGTTTCCCCCACCCAGTCCAGTTGACCACCCACTATCCAACATGGCTAAAGGTTGGCAGGTTTTTCGTGCCAACTGCTCATCAAAGTGGCCAAGATCATGTCTAATTGCCTTTAGCTTGTTAGTTTTCTGACCTCTTGTTTAGAGGAGGAAATAGGATCGGCTTTTGGTGCAGAACTTGAGGCTACACTACTGCTACAATCCAGGAATTTGGATGGACCTACTGCTATTGCTGTAGGTCATCGTTTTTGGGGAAATGTGGAGGGACTGGGCGAATCTCTGCACACAAAGTCACTTTGTGTGTTGAACAGAAGGCTGGCTCAGGGAGATTTTTCTTAGATTACTTAGCCAAAAAGGTAGCAACCAAGGTAATTGGGCACGAAAGCCCTTTTTTTGCTAACTGTTAAAAAACATGGAGTAAAACAGATGGATCAAAAGCTTGTTGACATTGATGGGGATCTTTCCAAGCGACTTCAGTGGGGTTTTGGCTTAGGTACATATGGTCTTGGATATCAGTAGGATGATCTCAACAGCAAATGAAATGGCCCCTGGATGTCACTGCTGTGCTGCAGTAGAGCAGCAGAAGAGTCTCATTCTATGGGATGTAAAGAAGATGGAGCTAAGACCCAGAGGAGAGGCCTGGATAACTGGAAGCATTGGCTCAGGCCTTTGGTCTTCCTCCAGCACAGATTGCAAATGACTGCAAGTTATCATCTGACAGATGCTCTGTTGTGGCTCCAGTCCATTTCCTACTGCACAAGTCTATACATCACCCCCAGCGCTGTTGTCAAGCCTGCATGGTCAAACCAGCATTGGCTGCTGGGTTTTTCTGCAGGTTCTCCTCTTTCCTTTTTCAACCTCCTCCCTTCTCCAGGAAAAATTAAAAAAAAAAAAAAGAAAAGAAAAACACACAAAAAACCCCCCCCCGACAAAAGCCAATGCACCATCCACCATAAATTTAATTTATTTCAATATAAAGTCTGAGCCTTACGGTCTCATAGAAGGTGTAGGGAACCAATTCATTGATGTCTCCTTCAGTCTGCAAATCTTATTGTGAGAGATGCTGCTATTCTCAGGAGGTTGATAACAATGAAACCTAATGATGACATTTAAACCTATTATTTCTATCAACAGCTTGCCTGGGGTTTAATTTGATGACATTTAAACATATCGTTTGATCAACAATTTGCCTGGGGTTCAGTTTCATGGAAGACCTTCAGATGAGTTGTTTGCTCCTGGGAAGGCACAGGACTGGATTGTTTGGGGTAGTAGAGAGATAAGAACCCAAATTCCTCCCATTACCCCCCCAATAATTGTCATGAGGGAAATACGTGTAGTCAGCACAAAAACTTGTAGGAAGTGCAAACTGTTGGGGTGGAATACAATTGTTTGAATTTAATCTGAAAATAAGCAATACTGGGAAGAGTGGGCCGATTGCATCACTCATTTCCCAGTTGGCTGCACTAAAAACCTTTAATTCAGCTCTGAAATTTCTGCTGAATTCCTGTCCACTGCACTAAAGTAAAGCAGCCTTGCTTCAAAATTGACTTTGACTTTGCAAACAAGTCTGCAGGAATTCCTACCCAGCTGACTGCTGTCATTTATTTAAGCAGCTCAATACAGGATTAAGTAGCCCTGGAGCCTGGGACAGCCTTTTATCTTGAGAAGTGACTGTTCCAGGTAAGAAAAAGAGATGAAGCAGTGGGAGATGTGGGATTTCTCTCACCTGACTTCATATATCCACAATGCAGACATTTCCAGCAGAGCTGGTCACCCCAGGCTCCCTTTGTAGTCAGCAGAAACAGGCACTTTTAGGGCATGATTCATCTGCCCTATTTTCAACATCTGTGTCGAGGTTGTGATAAATTACAACCAGGACTCCAGAGCCTGCACAATTAAGGGCCTCATCCAACTGTCCCCAGATATACTGTGCTTGGGGATGTCTTGCGTCCCCCCTCTCCACCAGACTCTGCTCCCATGTGGCTCGTCCCCAG